CTGTGCTGTGATTGGACGTTCATGGAATTGGCCCCAGAGGCAACCTACATTTTGGGCCCAAGGGATCCAGGGTAACCTGAAATGTGATGTCACCGAGTAGTCCCTCCCCCATGGAGCACTGTGATTGTTCCTTTCCACAGGAAACTGTCCATGAGAGGAGGGACCTAAAGACACTATATATAGAGTACCGCCCCTCCAAATATATAATTAGACAGGGACCACCCCCGGGGGAGGAGTCATGTACTGTAATCCAACCCCCAAGGATTTCAGATTTCCAGGCCCACCTCTTCTCTAGGGGAGGTATCCGGAGACATTGGGGGATGCAAGGCAGCAGATGACTCCTCCCACTGGGGGGTGCAGTGTATTTTACGTTTAGAGGGGTGGCACCTATGGGTGGAGTCATGAGGTTGGTTAGTGACGTCACCCTATTTCTAATATACCGTCACACCAATGAACCCTCTTGTCTTCTCAGGTGAGGGGGGGGGGTCTACTCCTGCACCCACTACCCCTACCAGTGTCACGTGACCAGAGGGGGCAGCTCCGGGGTATGCTGGGATCACTCCGCGGTGACGGCTGTCTAGTTTGTGTTTTTAAATCCCGTGTTCAGATTGTTGTGGTGACGTACTTCCGGTTTATTTCCGGGTTCCGCGCTCTCTTTCCTGTTGTGACTTCCAGCGTGGAGCTTCCGTTCGCACAGCGCGCTCGTTGTCATGGTGATGACGGGCCGTCCTCTTTACTACTGCTCATCGCACTTCTTCCCCCCCCTCCCTTGTTTACACAATGGTACAGCCCTGACTTCAGGAGATCAGAGCGGGAGAGACCACTGCGGTGGGGGGATCCTTCTGTGTTTATACCGCCAGGAAAGTGTGTGTATAACAGAGATGGAAGTGACCATAGAGTATCATGTGAAGATAGATGGGACACATCAGGTAAATCTGTGACCGCCGCAGGAAGGACATTGTGTACAATAGGGATTAGGAGGGATCATTGTTTTCTATGGAATGCCCCTAGAGGATCATGGGAAGTAAAGGATTATTCGTTTCATTATTTCGGGATTGGGCTCTGAATGTCAATGTGAAATGTTCGCCTTCCGCAGCGTGGGGCCCCCCTCGTAATTCATATCGGGACCTTCAGGTCTGGTAGGACTTTTAAAGGGGAACCCCAATGCCAAAATAATTAGACCGTGAGGTCCCCCCTAAAATCCCTGCCAGACCCTTGATAT